AAAGTATGGGGGTCTAGGGGTGTACAATCCCCCCAGTTTTTTTGTTTTTGGACCCCCCAAAATTTTGGAATTTCCAAAAAATTGCAGATCCCAATATTGGCAAAGTATTCAATGATTTTTTTTTGGAAATCCCAATTTTTTTTAATCCAATTTTCTCAAGATGGAGTTTTAAAGTGTATGTATGTGTGTGCATACACATATAAATATCTCAACAACAACAATAAAAAGATCATTATGATTTCATCCAAATGCAGAAGTGTGTTCCAGACCAGAGTCTGAATGAAATTCAACAAAACCATGGTTTGCCATGAAATCACTGAAACTCCTGAAAGTCACAAGAGGAATGACATGCTGATTTAAACAAATTCTTCATCATGTAGGCAAAAAATAATTTTTAAAACTTATATAACAAGTTAATCTTGAAAGCAGCAAATATTGGGAATAATAATCACATTAAGATTCAGGCAAGTGTTTACTGACACTAATTTATATAACCATATAAATAACATAAGGACATAAGAGATGCCAATGTTGGATCAGGCCAAAGGCCCATCCAGTCCAATACTCTGTATCACACAGTGGCCAGAAATACCAGTGCCATCAGGAGGTCCACCAGTGGGGCCAGGACATTAGAAGCCCTCCCACTGTTGACCCCCCCAAGCACCAAGATGACAGAGCATCACTTGCCCTAGAGTCCCTATCTATACCTTGTGGCTAATAGCCACTGATGGACCTCTGCTCCATATCTATATATCTAATAGTGAATTGGCCCCCGTGCGTGCGGATACCTAAATCCGTGCACCGGGGACACTTGGGGGAGAAGGAGATTTTTGTGCATACGTGGGACGGTCCCCAGGTGTGCACAAAAATCTTAAAACCTGGAAAAAAAATCGGGGGGATACTTAAATCCCCCCAAGAGTCACAGAGCGTCCCCTGCACATGCGTAGGGAACGCTCTGCAAACTGCCTCGGTTCAAGGGGGGAGGGGAGCGAGCCAGCGACTGGTCGCTTTGAGGAGGCAGCGGCGGCAGGGAGGCCCGGCGAGCTCTGGCGAGGCCCGGTGGCTGAAAGCCGCGGGCCTCGCTTTGAGGAGGAGGCGGCGGTGGCAAGGCCAGAGACGAGGGGGGGGAGACAGCCGAAGTTGCTCGGAGCCGGGAGCGGGGAAGGGAGACTGCCGAGGCCCGGCGGCTGTAAGCCGCGCGGGCCTCACTTCGGAGGGAGGGGAGAAAGAGAGAGACGGGAGGGGGGAAGAGAGAGAACGGGGGGGAAAGAGATAGACTGGGGGGGCGGCAAACCGGGGGTGGTAGTTGAGGGGGGGTGGAGGAGACGGGGGAACGGACGGGAGGGGGGAAGCTTACTTGACCGCTCAGCAATTTCATGGAGTGCCCACGGGTTCTTGTATTGTGAGAAAGGGAGAAAAGTACCTCTTTCTCTACCTGCTCTTTCCCATGCATAATCTTATAAACCTCAATCATGTCACCCCTCAGTCGTCGTTTCTCCAAGCTAAAGAGCCCTAAGCGCTTTAACCTTTCCTCATAGGGAAAGTGTTCCAACCCTTTTATCATTCGAGTTGCCCTTTTCTGCACTTTTTCCAAAGCTATAATATCCTTTTTAAGGTGTGGTGCCCAGAACTGCACACAGTATTCCAAATGAGGTCTCACCATTGATTTATATAGGGGCATTATTATATTGGCTGATCTGTTTTCAATACCCTTCCTAATAATCCCCAGCATAGCATTGGCCTTCTTTATTGCAGTCACACACTGTCTCGACATTTTCAGTGAGTTATCCACTACAACTCCAAGATCTCTCTCTTGCTCAGTCTCTGCCAGTTCAGACCCCATCAATGTGTATTTATATTTAGGATTTTTGGCTCCAATGTGCATCACCTTGCACTTGGCCACATTGAACCCCATTTGCCATGTTGACGCCCACTTGCCCATCTTTGACAGATCCCTTTGGAGTGCCTCACAATCCTCACTGGTTTTCACCACCCTGAACAACTTTGTATCATCCGCAAATTTAGCCACTTCACTGCTTACTCCCAACTCCAAATCATTAATGAACAAGTTAAAAAGCAGTGGACCAAGTACTGATCCCTGTGGTACCCCACTGCTTACCCCCCTCCACTGGGAGAACTGCCCATTTATACTCACTCTCTGTTTTCTATTAATTAGCCAGTTTTTGATCCATAAAAGGACTTGTCCTTTTATCCCATGATTTTTGAGCTTGCTTAGGAGCCTTTGATGAGGAACTTTATCAAAAGCTTTCTGGAAGTCAAGGTAAATAATATCTATTGGATCCCCCTTGTCCACATGTTTGTTCACCCCCTCAAAGAACACTAATAGGTTAGTGAGACAAGATCTTCCCTTACAGAACCCATGTTGAGTCTGCCTCAATAGGTTTTGTTCATCTATGTGCCTACTAATTCTTTCCTTAATAATGGTTTCCACCAATTTACCCGGTATCGACGTCAGACTGACTGGCCTGTAATTTCCCGGATCTCCTCTGGAACCCTTTTTAAAGATGGGAGTGACATTTGCTACCTTCCAGTCCTCAGGAATGGAGGCTGATTTTAAGGAAAGATTACATATTTTTGTCAGGAGATCCACAAGTTCACATTTGAGTTCTTTCAGAACTCTCAGATGTATGCCATCTGGGCCTGGTGATTTATCAGTTTTTGAGTTGTCTATCAGTTTTAGGACCTCCTCTCTCGTCACCTCAATCTGACTCAGGTCTTTCAACACCCCTCCCGAACTCAGCGGTCCTGGAGTGGGCAAGCACTTCTCATCTTCCACAGTGAAGACGGAGGC